CAACGCAGAAGTAAGCCGTTTTCTGTGAATGTGCGAGACTTCCGGTTCATTAGCCACTGCGGGGAAATAACGAGAAGAATAACAATGTGCAGTAAACGTTAAAACTGTTTGCACTACAAACCAGTGTGTTCATGATTAAGTTAATACACTAAAATAATATAATAGGACAAACCAATTTAACACAAGATGTACACTTTGCTTTGAATGTGCTGATGTAGTGTGTATGTGTGTGTGTGTGTGTGTGAGTGTGTGTGCTCTACAGATCGTGCAGTCAGACGGGACTAACCGTAGACTCAATTGTCCGTGAGCCCGTAGTGACGTCCTGCCTTTGATTTGACAGTATCAAAGAGCTGAAGCTGAGACTCTCTGATGGGCCGTGATATCAAAAGGACAGTTTGGGCTTTTTTCCTCTTATCAAGGGAACCCTGATCCTTCCTCTCCTTCCTCTCTCTCTCTCTGATTCCAGACATTCTGTTCTTCTTGTAAATTTCCAGTGAGATTTCCCGTCCTCAGATTCTCTGTTCCTGACCGATGTACTGCAGGAACGTCGTTTGCACTGGATGACGTCAGTCGGATGTTCACACATCCCCGGTTTCTCGTTTTAGAGTGGGTCCGTGGAATAATTTAAATCTAATAGCAGTGTGAAGTTATGAAAAACAGCAGCTCGTGATAGAAAATCTCGATATCAAAGGTCACAAATCAAAGTGTGTCGAGTACAACGCTTCATTAATGCCGCTCATCTTCAGCGTAATGAACAAACCCCTCCAAATATGAGGAGAAGACACGTTCCCTTTCAGATTCCTGCCCTGATCCATCAGAAGTGCAGACGTTATTATTGATTTCTTTATTTATTTATGGCGGGCTGATAATTGAAAAGGGCCTTGAAGCATTTCGGATATAATGGAGTCTAATTTGGTGGAACTCAAAGGACTTCTTGAATCATTTGTTTGGGCGACACTGAAATTCATTTGTGTGATTCTAACATGAATGTTGATGTTTGTGTTATTCTCATTTCTGCAGATCTCGTATAAAGCCGTCAGCTCCTTCGACCCAGTGCTGGATCTCTCTAACCAGAGCGGGAAGGTGGTTAAACTGGGGAATGAAACCAGCCATGTGTTTCTGGGTCTCTACCCCGGCTCCACATACTCCTTCACCATCAGAGCCAGCACCGACAAGGGCTTCGGACCGCCCGCCATCACCCAGGCCACCACCAAGATCTCAGGTGTGTGTCTGCAGCAGATGCTTCAATCTGAAACAGCATAGAAGAATGTGAAGTAACTCAGTGGGTATGCAAATGGCCCTAGCAACCACCTGGCAACCTCCTAGTTACCACCCAGAACACTCTAGACCAGCAACCACTTAGGAACCTCTTAGTAAACACACAAAATACCCTAACAACCACCTGGCAACCTCTTAGTAACCACCAAAAACACCCTAGGAACAACCTAATTGCCCTAGCAACCACCTAGTTACCACACAGAACACTCTAGCCCAGAAAATACTTAGGAATCTCTTAGTGAACACATAAAATACCCTAGCAACCACCTGGCAACCTCCTAGTAACCACACAGAATGCCCTAGGAACAACCTGAGTGCCCTAGTAACCACTTTACAACCCCCTAGTTACCACCCAGAACACTCTAGACCAGCAACCACTTAGGGACCTCTTAGTGAACACACAAAATACCCTAGCAACCACCTAGTAATCACACAGAATGCCCTAGGAACAAACTGAGTGCCCTAGTAACCACTTAGCAACCCCCTAGTTACCACCCA